TTAGGGGGGTATAATAGAAAATCCAAAGATATTAGGGATCCCCTTGACATCCTAGGTTTTGGTTGATTTTCATATGGTTTTTATAAAGGATTTTATATACAAGAACTGAATGCGACTTTATTACAGTTTTAGCCGTATTTAATCTCAATTGAATTTCATTCGATTTCAACTGATTTTAAAAGGAATTTTAAATAAATGTCAATTGATTCTAGCGTTTTTTGGGGGGGATTTTAATTGATTTAAAAGGAATTTCTAATTAAATTTCAATTGATTCTAACGGGATTTTGATTCGATTTTAATTGGTTTTAAAAGGAATTCTAATTAAATTTCAATTGATTCTAACGGGATTTGAATTCCATTTTAATTTATTTTAAAAGGAATTTCTAATTAAATTTCAATTGATCCTGACGTGATTTCAATTCGATTTTAATTGGTTTTAAAAGGAATTTCTAATCAAATTTCAATTGATTCTAACGGGATTTTAATTCGATTTCAATTGATTTTAAAAGGAATTTTAAACAAATTTCAATTGATTCTAACGGGATTTTGATTCGATTTTAATTGGTTTTAAAAGGAATTTTAATCATATTTCAATTGATTCTAACGGGATTTTAATTCGAATTTAATTAATTTTAAAAGGAATTTAAAGGCGGCCCTACCAAATCCTTTCAATAAATATTCCCCCCTAATAATAAATAATGTTTGACCACCCGGAGTATTTATTATTAGGGGGGGGGGACGTCGTTTATTATTAGGGGGAAGCGATTAGGGGGAACACTTAATTATTCCAAAATGCATTATAGTATACAACAATGGGAATATGCCTGGATATGTATGATCCATTGTCCTTCTCCATTATCCCTATATCAACCCAATATACTATAGTAGTTTCCATTTTCTTTTCCATTATCCCAATATGACCCCAATATACTATAGTAGTTTCCATATAACCCCAATGAGGGATGGTCCTAAACCCCTAAACCCCTAAACCCCTAAATCCTAAGCCCCAGAGGGATGTGGGATTAGTGCCTTCCGTGGAAACCGGCCTTGGCGTGTATGCCAGCACTGTCAACCCAGTGAGTTTCTCAAGATGATCCTTCTCGGTGCCTGAAAAGGGTTTAGGGTTTAGGGTAATCATGCATAATTTAGGGGTCCCCAATAATAAGGACTATAATATTTTGGGGTCTAATAGGGGTATAATATATGGGTTACATAAGGATAATGGAAAATAAAATGGAAACTACTATTCAGGGTGTAGGGTTTAAGGGTTTAGGTGGACCCCCCACCCAGTAATAGTGACTATAGGGGTTTATAAGGTTCATATTAGGGTCCTCTTATATTCCTAATATACCACTATTACAAGGTGGGGGGTCCTCCTAATGCATAATCCTCAATGTTCAGGGATTAGGGTTTAGGGTTCAGGGTTTAGGGTTCAGGGCTTAGGACGCAGTGTCTTCTATGAGAGACTCCAGTGTTTCTGGGATTCGGGTCTTCAAAGTCTTCGCACACGGCCATATGATGGGTTCCTATAGGAGGACCTGGGTATGCACTCTGAAATGCAATTATCAGTGCAGACTCCTTATAAACCCGATATGGTTGCAGTTGCACTTTCCTCCTCCACGTACTTGTGCGTTCGATTCTCCATCAGTGGGGTAGAGTCCAGACTGTGGCTGTGAGGCCTGGCAACGCTGGATCTAGACGAGGCGGAGAAGCGAAAGAAGCTTATCGCCGCCACCCAGCTGCATAACAGCTCAGCAGAGCCACCGGGGTTCAGTGTTTAGGGTGTAGGGAAGCAGGATGTTGATGAGGATAATGCAAGGATGAGCACAAGAATCATGGTGATGAGCGTAATGATGGTTGTTGAGAATGTTTTCCTACCTTCGCAGGATTGTGATGATTGCCTTGACAATGAATGTCAAAAGCTTCAGTATTATCATTAAGAAGACCTGAAATCGGAATCCGCTATCATCATGATGATGTTGCTCATTCTCGCAGCTGTGATCTGTGAACATGATTCCTACTACTCTAGAAGTCCAGAGCGGTAGTCCCTCCCAAAACCCAACCCACCGTATTTTGGAATATCTCCCCTGTTGTGCAGTGATATCATGCTGGGAATATCCATTATCAGCTATAGGGGCCTCCAAAGTAAGTTCAATTTTTCGTTTTTAGAATCCAACTTGCAACCAACAATTGTAATATCTAGTGGGGTTCTGGGGCCGGTTTAGTTAGGGGGCTTAGTGTTGTCATTAGATCGTGGGTTCCCTCTTAGTTGACCTTAATTCTACTTATCCCTAAATACTTTTAATTATGAGGAGAACCTAAGGGGGATAGTCTAGTGGGGGCGTAGTGGGGGAACGCCCGCAGCCCCAGGCAGGCTTTGCGGCATCAATGCTGCCGGAAGCCCAGCCACATGAGCCTTAATCTAAACTCTTTACAGGGGGTTATATTTGGGTGATGCTAGGGGCTTAGACTGTAGCTCACATGTGAGATGTTTGGTGACGACGGGGCCCCTATGAGGGATGATGAAGGGATTTTCCATATCCTGCTGCTTCGTGCTGTTTTGCGAGACTATGCTCTGACAAACCTTGGTGACAAGGGACCCTTAACCCTACATTCCCCCAAACTAACATGGAAACCCATATTCGCCCCTTTTTAAAGGGACTGTAGTCTTTATAGGGCCCTTCTTGGGTCTCCATGTTAGTTTCCGGGAGAGTAAATCCTAAACCCTAAACCCCAAAGATGTTATCCTCACCCAGCACCCTCAGGCGACAGTGTGATCTTGAGCAGGCAACATGTCGTAGTTTACCCAAAGAGAGAGACCCCAATATAGACCCTAATACATATAATCCTTAGTATGGGGGCCCCCAAAAGGTACCCCTAATTTTGGGAAACCCTTATGTCTTGAATAGAAGCATTCCACGGATCCAAGGCTGACAACCTTAAGCCCAAAACTCTTAAAACACCTAAACTCTAAGCCCTAAACCCTAGGACTGATTGCTGCCTTGGTGCGCAAGAGGGGGAAGTGTGCGCTCGCCTCAGCCTACTTATTGCAGGTCAGTCGGGAATGATGGATTCAAACGGAACCTTGAAATTACTCTATCCTGGGGGTGTAACATAACAACTTTAAAGCTCATATCAATAACAAAATTGATAAGAATACTAATAAGACTATTTATAATATTTGCACTCTCATACGAATAGTAGGGAGGACCAAAGGGATCTCTTCCTCCATTCCCTGCTAAGCACGAGTTAGACTTGCGCGCACACATGGGAGTGGCTCACACTGAATGATTGATAGCTGCATCCTTGCAACGACACCTCGGTATTTTCAGAGTTACACAGCGCTAAACTTACTCAATGCTTCAGAAACTTTGTGTTGTCCAAGGTGTTGAGACTCTCTTCGTCATGCTGTGCGCATGTCTTCAGCTGAGCTCGGGAATTTCGGCGTGTCTGCTGAGGGAATGGTTTACTAGCTTCTTGCGTGGCATGGTTAAGGCAAGTTGGCATACGCCGCCTGCGAAAATTACATCGAAGCCGATCGAGGCGCCACAGCGGTACACATGGGGATTGTCCTAAATTACTGTCAATAGGGGGTCCTATATTTAGGTTCCTATTATAATACGGGGCCCTATATAAATTTCCCCCATTTTGGGACCATAATTTTGACAATCCCCCACATGCACCTCATGATCCACCTTGTACAGACTCTAAACTCGATTGCCACAACCCTGAACCCTAGTACCTGTGCCACAACCCTGAACCCTAGCACCTGCCTGCCTGTGAACCCCGAACCGTAACTATGCCTGAACAATCCCTTGAACCGCAGGTCCTGCACCCTCAACCTATCGACCGTAGACCTCAAACTACAAGCCCCAAAGGCTCTGAACCCCCAATCCCAAAATCCTAGACCCCTAAACCCTAAACCCCCTTCTGGGTCAGGGACAGACTTGGAGCTCTCCTTGCTATCTCCCTTGCGGCCGTCAGCTTGGAAGCCTCGTGCGTAATTATGAGTGGGCTCATTCAGAGGAGAAGGGAAACCCAAGTAACTGCCATTGTTATGGTCGATTTCATGGTTCAATGTTCCTACATAATTGTATGTGGTAGTTTCCCAAAACAAGGGTACCCCTAATTTGGGAAACCCCCATGTAGTTTGGGCTACCTCAAATAGACCTACAAGGACATTGTGAACTAAACTGGGATGTTCATTAGTCCATGACCCATGAACCTTCGAGAGGTTGGAATCGCAGGTTGTGGATGTGGCTCCAACCCGCTCTGGCCTCTCCTAGAAGGATCTGTTTTTCATTATAGTGCAACCTTAAACCAGATCTGACAACAGATTTGTTCTCTCATTGCGAAGGGACAACGGATAAGTTTTAGATGAACTCTGCCTTTGATACTGCTTCAAACCTTACGGTTTCTGGTACTTGTTAAGCCACCGCCACCTTCAGTGGGCTCCCTCAAAGTACTGGACACAACCTACATCATACA